TTAATGCGTTTAGCTGTGAGATTAATACCAAAGGTCATTTATTATCTCAATGAGAGATTAACACATCTTACCACTTTCATACGTAGTTTGCTCATCTCTTTAGATTGAAGGCTTATAATCTTTCATTATTTAATCTCGCGATATTTTTCTTACATATTTATACTTTATTTTATTTGTTTCACTCGTTAAAATATTTCATCTAAAATTAAATAGTCGATAAATTATGATAAAAAACAAAGACCTATATAGATGAAAAAAATTAACAAAATAACACATCAACAATCATGATAAAATATAAATGACATTCATTTGAATAAATATATTATTTTTTTATTCAAAAATATATGTTATTTATTACCCAATCAGATCTATTTTCAAATACAAGATACCAATTATTGATTATATATTTGATACAAGTGGTTAATTTTTATAGTTGGGTGTGAATTTGTATTTTTTATACTGAAATAATAAAATGTAAGTTGATGGCTTGAGTTAGATAAAATTTATCATATTTAAATTGAGTTTATTTGAATTTAAACTCTTGTCGAGACGGTATTTTTCCGGCGAAAACAAATGTCATTGCTTTTTAAATCTCGTCTCGAAAAAGTAAGTGTTTTTCTTTTTTGAATCAGATAAAGCATAATTTGAGGAGTCACTATCAATCATTTATCGAGGTGTGATTGGTTACCAAAAATGCTATGTTATTTTAATAAAATTTATAAAAAAAATAATATTAAAATAACGCAAAAAGGGTCTGTTACCAAAAATGAGTCGGTTACGCGTGGGGAAGGATTAACACCCCACAACGCCCAAAATTGATACATTTGTTTATTAATTATTTGTCTTTGTAGTAAAATTTATAAATATGAATTTAATTTAATTATTAAATTATACAAATAAAATATCTAGATTACTACTACAAATACCTAATATATGAAGTACTATAAATGTAAATAATCCTATTTATTCAAAATAATAAAAAAATTAAAGCTCGTGGATCAAATTGTAAAATATCTAAATTAATGGTCATAATTCGAAATATCATGAAATATAGCTATTAACAGTGTTATTTAATCATAAATAATTATACGTGTTAAAATATAAATTATTAAAATAATAGGGACTAAATATGCTATTTTAACTAATATATACAAAAACATGGCAAGGACTAAAAAGAAATAAAATAAAATGCGAAGACAAAATTAAAATGCACAAAAACTTGATTTTGTGACCAAAATGAAAGAATTATAAATTATAGGGATTGCAGTCGAGGTTTTTCCCTTCTTGAAATTACATAGAGGTCACTCCCTAAAACGACGTCGTTCGGAAAGGTATAAATAGCCTTTAACTGGCCTAAAGGGCCAAAATATCTAATTTCTTTTGCTTCTCTCTAAAGACCTCCCACCGAAGGGATGTCGATTACTGGCCGATACTGACACCACCAAACGGTGGCCGGAAAACATCAAAAGCTCTCTGAATACTCCTCTTAACCCTAAAAACACTAATCCGACATTGTTTTCAACCGAAAACTATCCTATCGAAATAGATCTACAAATTTTACCTTCGAAAAATATTTTCTCTGGTGACGTTTGTAGCTTCTGATGACGGGCGATGCTTCGAGGGTAAGGCTCTTATTCTTCTCTTTTTCTCGCTTTCGAATACTCTGTTGGTTGCTGCCGTTCGGTCTCTCTGTTTATGTTTGTGTGTTGTTGTGTGTCTCTCTGTCTTGTTTCTCATCTCTTGTTAATGTTAGTTTCTCTCCGTCTGTGTGTATCTCTCTCGTTTTTCTTTGCTACTGCTTTCTCCTGCAGGTGATGGCCTTTTATAGGCCCCGTGGTGCTTCATTGTAACCAGTTAAAAGAGAAAACCCCGGCGAGTCACCGGAGCTATGGTGGTGACTCACCCTAGGGTTGTGAGGTGTGCAGTCCTCCTTCATCTTTTGGAGTCTTCTGGTGAGGCGATAGTGGCGTGGCAACGTCGGAGTGGACCATCTGGAGGCGGCGGCCATAATAGCCCTAGGGTCGTAATGATACCCTAGGTTTCTGCTGGATAAACCTGGACCGTTGGATGGGTCTAAATCTTACGTTGGAGAACTACGGCGGGTGGAGAAGATAAGGAAAACCCTAATCAATTTTGGGCCTTCTTGGGTTTTGATATGCTTCTCGGTCTCCGAGTTTGGATCTGTTGGGTTGGACTTATAATCGAGCCTCCGTATTTTGCTTTATAACTGGCCCCGATTCATTTATTTGGAATTATAATAATTTAATAATAATAATAATAAGTAATACTAATAATAGTAATAATAATATATTAATATGTAAAACTCAGACCAAAATGACTGTCGACAACTCTAATTAAGAAATAAAAGTTATAGTTAGACATGTGAATAATTTGGGTCAAATTCTAAATTTGATTATTTTATATTTCAAACTAGCTTTCAATTTAATATAGTCATAATTAAATTGAACCTTTTAAAGAATAATAAATTATATCGTTACTCACTGAAATTTATTATCTCTCTTATTTTACTTACTAAATATTTAATTTTTTTAATTTGATAACTCAACTTTACAGATTAAATTATTTTACTCACTCGATCATTAAGTTTCTAACAATTAGATAACATGGAATAATTTAATATTAAACATACCATATCATATTGATATTAAATACAAAATATTAATATTTAATGCAATTTTAAAATAAAAAGTAAAAAAAAAAAAACTAAAATCAAACCTCATTCCCAACCCCCAAACCATCACCGGTCGTTCCTTCACCTTCATTGACAGAGAAAGAACGAAGGAGAGGAAGAGCTACGATGGCCGAACTTAATCTACATGGCAGCCGCCCCTATTTCCTCTTATTCCCTCCCCCCCCCTTTCTTCTCTTCCAAAACATGTTCAATCCCAAAGCCCAATATGCTCTTTCCTCCCTCTCTTTCCATCTCTCCTTTTCGCTCCCTTCCATCATCAACCCTAAAAAATACAGCAGAGCCCCTCTTATCGCCTGCTCTTCCTCTAATCCCAACGGTTTTGCCTTCAATGATGGGTTCGATTCCAATCCCACTACATCTAAGGTAAGCTTTCATGGAAACAAGTTTCAATTTTGGAAAGTTACACTTTTTATGGATTGGGTTTGGTGATTTTAGGTTTATGATTTAAAAATTGATTGAATTTTTAGCATTTTTTTCTTTAAGAAATCTATCCTTGCCAATCGAGCAAGACCTATTCTGGGAGGGTGCTAGATTGGTTTAGATAGAGAGAGAGATAAAAAGAGTGAAACAAGAAGAAGAATAGAAGAAATGGGAAAAATAAATTTTTAAAAGAATCAAAACTACGTCGTTTTAAATAAAATTTGATTTTGCGTAGGAATTTAAAACGCAGTTAGAAATTTAATGGGTTGAGTGAGTAAAATAATTTAATTTATAAAGTTTAGTGAGTAAATTAAAATTTTAGTGAGTAAAATAAGAGAGTGTAAAATTTAATAAGAAACGTAATAATTTACCCTTTAAAGGTTGAGTAGTTTGTAAATTAAATGTCCCATTTATATTTGATAATTACTTTTAAACATGTGTCATGATTTAGAATATAGTATAATAATTTAATTGTTTTTCTTATTTTCTTATTTTAAGATCCAAATAATAATGACACCCCTTAGATTATGGTGTTGAGAAATTAGAGATTTAAACTATGATATCATAATTTTAGAAAATAATAGATTCTTTTAAAATTGTTTCAATTTTAATTTTGATATTATTTTACATAAAATTTTTACATAAAAAAAAATCAAAATTGACACCTATGCTGAAGAGCATTGACATCATATACGTAGACAAATTCAGGATTCCTTGACAAATCAGGGTTCCAAGGTGTAGTGGTTAGCGTTCTGGACTTTGAATCCCCGGTGGGACCTTTTTCACTTTGGCAGTTTCGTATGGGACTGGGAGTGATCTTGTCTATTGATGTCACCGAAAACCATTCATATATATTTTACTAGTTGAATTAATTTTAAACCAATAGTATTAAGTTTTTATATCGTGTCATATGGCACAATTATTTTTAAGTTATATATATTTGGTTTTCTTATGTTATGATAATGTCTAACCTACGTTAGTTTTTATGTCGTGTCACATGTCACAATTATATTTAAGTTATATATATTTGGAGTTCTTACGTTATGATAATGTCTAATCTACATTATATATATATTTGATTAGAGTTATATATTATATTTGAATAATCTTGTCTATTGATGTCACTGAAAATCATTAATATATATTTTACTTGTTGAATTAATTTTAAACTAATTTAGTTTCCAGTAATATTAAATTTTTATACTGTGTCATATGTCACGATTATGTTTAAGTTATATATATTTGGTGTTCTTATGTTATGATTATGTCTAAGCTTATTATATATATATATATATATATATTAATAGAGTTATATATTAATTTGAATAATCTTGTCTATGTCACTAAAAACCATTAATATATATTTTACTCGTCGATTAATTTTAAACTAATTTTAATTTATAGTAATATTAAATTTTTATATTGTGCCATATGTTACTATTATGTTTAAGTTATATATATATTTGGTGTTCTTATGTTATGATAATGTCTAAGCAATATTATATATATATATATATTGAATAATTTGAATATTTTTTTTTAAATATTATACAAATTAAATGATTTTAATGATTAAGAAATTATAGTTATTTTTAAAAGTTTGTATATACACTGTGTTTATAGGAATATTTAAATATTTTAAATAAATAACCACCTTAAAGACTAATAAAAAAAACCTTTTATGAACTATTATCACGTGAGAATAGTTCCTTGATGTAAGGGCCAAAATGGAATTGGTCCTCGTGAAGGTAGATGCAAAAATGTACACCTCACGTGGCTCATCTTACTTCCATGGACTTGGAGTCTTGGACTCACTTTCCTTACCTAATCTTTCATTGCTCTAATTAATTTGTATTAAGACGGGTGACATAGAGAGAGAGAACGCTGTCTTACGTCTAAAGGGAAGGGAGAGGAAGAAGAAGGCAAAGACACTGGACAACCATGACAGCAAACACCATCGACCAAGTGAGCATCGACGATCTGTGCTGCGCAGGCGGCGGAGTATTAACCATAGAGGAGGCCCAACACATCCACCAACTCATTAAACAAGCAGTTTCCAAAGCAAAGGCAGAAGCAGGAGGATCAGGCCAGTTATGGGCAAGACAAGTGTGGAGAGAGGTGATGGGCAGAAGAGTGCTAAAGCCAAACTACCCACATGCACTCCACCAGCTTGTCTACTACTCCGTCTATGCTCACTGGGATGCTTCCATTCTTGGCCCCCCTCTTTACTGGTTCCCTTCTCTGTAATCTCTCCCTTCCTCTCTCTTCCTTTCCTTTTTCCATATCTTCTTGAACAACTTGATAGTAAATGTGTTCTACTAAGTTTATCCTTTTTTCCCCAGACATGATTCTAAACTTACACACATAGGACGAATAATGGAAACTCATGGTCCTACGCTTTTAGGGACTTCATACAAGGATCCCATTGCTAGTTTTAATCTCTTTCGGGATTTCACTGCCCACCATCCTGAGGTAACTTACTGAAGTCTCATGTTGTTCTTCTCCTTGTACCTTTTTCATGTAAATGTCAGCATTATGTTGCAATTCAAACAAATTTACCAGTTTTGTTTTTTTTCTTGGTTGAACGTTTGTTAATTAGGTTTATTGGCCAATCATTCTAAAAGAACTTGTAGTTACATTTCGTGAATCTCCCAAGTGTATTCTGGATACCACTGACAATTCGAGACCCGGGGGAATTTGGCTTCCCGGTTCGGTTTTGAATATTGCTGAATGTTGCTTATTACCCTCAAGTCATCCCAGAAAAGAAGATGATAGTTGTGCGATTGTATGGAGAGACGAAGGCGATGATGAATCCGATGTGAACCGTATGACACTTAAACAACTTCGAGACCAAGTGATGTATGCTTTCATTTCATTCATCCTATGATGTTGTTGTTTCTTTTCCTATTGAAGAATCTACATCTGATTTTTAATTCACAGGTTGGTAGCAAATGCACTAGAGAAAATTTTCAGAAAGGGTGATGCCATTGCTATTGATATGCCAATGACAGTAAATGCAGTTATTATATACCTGGCAATAGTATTAGCTGGATTTGTTGTTGTATCTATAGCTGATAGTTTCGCTGCTAAGGAAATCGCAGTGCGTTTGCGGGTCTCTAAGGCTAAGGCTATCTTCACTCAGGTGTTCTTCCACTTCAGTAGGTCATTTAATCTTTTTATGAGGACACAAACAAAAATTTTCCATGTCACTTGGAATGCTTTTAGCTTTGAGATTACATTTTTTGATGGAAACTTCAGTATATAAGGTTGTTCACACGTTTCAATGACCGGAGCTAAGCATTTTCATATGCTAGAAAACTTTTCTCTGCTTTCTTACAATTAACTTTTCTCCATTTAACTGTTGATTCTTATTCTAATCCCCTATATTCTTTGTTTTGGAAATGATAAATACCTTCTCAATGGTTTCAGGATTTTATACTAAGAGGAGGTCGAAAGTTTCCTTTATACAGGTAGAAGATATTGCCCTTCTGCTGTACAGGACAAATGGTCTACTACTTTTACTTCCTCAAAACAATTTTTTAGTGAAGATTTTTGGGTTTTTGTTCCTATATATGACCTTTGGAAGACAAATGCCCTTCTATATGTACAACTTATGCTTTCTACTGGTATGAAATGTAATAGAGGGGAAAGTTGTGGTACTGGTACCTAGTTTATGTGAGAATGATTAGTAACCGATCATATGGTCATTTTCTGAATGATTTGACCAGCATTGATTTCACTTTCCTCACCAAGAAAATTTTAAGTGTCTCTCGATCTTATCAGCAGGCTTTCGATCGGTTAAATGCCTTCCAAATACAAGTTTAAGGGCATTAGTGTTGATCTGTATATCATCACTTTTGGTATTCATGGCTGTTTGTCTTAACCATGCAGTCGAGTTGTAGAGGCTTCTCCACATAAAGCTATTGTGCTCCCTGTGTCTGGGAACGACGTCGGTATTCAATTAAGAGAACAAGATATATCATGGAAAGATTTTCTTGCCCATGGCAATCTGCATCCAAGGTATGTAATGTCTGCAATTGCATCTAATTGAGAGCAGTTTAATCTGTTTGTATTTTAAGTAATCAGTCCTTTACCGTTATCGTCACAGAACCGAAAATATCATATTTTCTGGAGTTAGTATACTTGTACATAACTACATAATGTTGCTATGTAAGTATTTAATTACATCATTATCTCTGTTGTAGACCAACCCATTTCACTCCAGCTTATCTACCAATAGATTCTGCAATTAACATACTATTCTCTTCTGGAACCACAGGTGGGGAAATTTGTCACTTGATTTATGGTTTTACATGTACACATTCCCTTTACTGGTTTGAATATTTTCAAGCATATTTATTGAACTTAACCAGGAGAACCGAAAGCTATTCCATGGACACAACGTTCGCCTATTCACTGTTCTTCTGAAGCATTAGCTCACATCAATGTTGGAGTTGGAGATGTTTACTGCTGGCCAACGAATCTCGGATGGGTGATGGGACCAATTTTACTCTTCTCTTGCTTTCTAACTGGTGCAACCCTTGCTCTCTATCATGGATCTCCTTTGGGCCGTGGTTTCGGAAAATTTGTTCAGGATGCAGGAGTAACAGTTTTGGGCACAGTTCCGAGTTTAGTGAAAACTTGGAAAAATACAAAGTGTATGGAAGGCTTGGACTGGACAAAGATAAAGTAAACCTTCTTTCCCTTATCCAAAAACAACTTTTGCATTAGTTATAATTCTTGTAAAAGAGACTCCACTGTTTTCTACTTCAGATCTTTTGCTAGCACCGGAGAAGCCTCTAATGTCGATGATGACCTTTGGCTATCCTCGAAATCTTACTACAAGCCCGTTCTTGAATGTTGCGGAGGCACAGAGCTAGCATCAAGTTACATCACAGCGAGTATGCTGCAGCCACAAGCTTTCGGAGCATTTAGCACTGCATCGATGGCAACTAGTTTTGTTATCTTGGATGAACACGGAGTTCCCTATGTAAGAACTTTATCCGGAAGTTATAAAATGGTTATAAGTGTGCACGTATGATAAAGCCTGATTTACCTTTGTGACAGCCGGATGATAAAGCCTGTGTTGGTGAAGTTGGTTTATTCCCTCTCTACTTTGGAGCAACTGATAGATTGCTTAACGCTGATCATGAGAAAGTTTACTTCAAGGGAATGCCAACATATAAGGGAATGGTATGGTCAATTTTTGTCCCCTTAGAACAATATTCGAGCAACGATTGCTTTGTACCCCTTGACAAATTCTTGGACCGAATAACCTCATGGTTCGATACGTGCTTTGACAGCGTCTTAGGAGACATGGGGATATCCTCAAGAGAATGGTCGGAGGCTACCTTGTTGTTCAAGGAAGGGCTGATGACACCATGAATCTTGGCGGCATTAAGGTATTCCATCCTCAAGAGAACGTTTGATTGAACTCGATATCATCGATCTCCTTCTGAAAGCATAAATTTCCCTTCTTTGCAGACAAGCTCTGTTGAAATCGAACGTGTTTGTGACCGTGCGGATGAAAGCATCTTGGAGACTGCTGCAGTCAGCGTGGCACCACCTGATGGTGGTCCAGAACTGTTGGTGATTTCCGTGGTTCTAAAGAAAGGGTTTGATCAACAACCAGGGAAGCTGAAGACGGTACTCTCGAAAGCCATTCAAGCCAACCTCAACCCCTTGTTCAAGGTTCGGATTCCTCGCTAAGCATCATCGTTTAACTCAATCCGAATGCTTGGATTCGAAAGTCGAAATCAAATTCATTTTCATTTGCATTAAGAGAGACGACATATTGATAGTTGATTGATCACAGGTGAACAGTGTGAAGATCATCCCAGAGTTTCCCAGAACTGCATCTAACAAATTGCTTAGGAGAGTCTTGAGGGACCAAGTACAGCATGAACTGTCTGTCAAAAGCAGGATGTGAAGGCTGGCAACTTCATCAATGCTTCAAGAATCATACATATTTTACCCACCGGAATGCCGGAAATTGGATTTTATCTACGAAAATTGAACTCAACATTTTATCAAATAATAATGATCTGATCTGCCGTTTTCGGAAATACCGGTTCCGAACGGAACTAGCCGTGTGATTCATTTTCTTCTTGCCCCTAAATTGTTATCCTAAACTCTAAACAATAAACTCGTATTTAGACTACTTTAGATTTCTAAACTTTTAATATTTTCAGAATATTATCGATCATAATTTTTATGTTATTGAATTAGATTCATGTGTTTTGTTCACTCTAAATTGAATCGAAAAATAATGGTCCAATCGTTAACATATAATCTGAAATAGAACAAAAAAAAATTGGACATAAAATGTTTGAATTGGTTTTGATGGCTAAATGCTCAAACATGGGCATAATCTTTCAAACGGTTGAATAATATTGTCGTTGTATTTCATATTGAAATAACGTGAACTGATGGTTTACCCTACATTTTACTTGCTTTCGACTTCAGTAGAAAATCAATTAGGTCAACAGAATGATGTGATTGACTACTCGAAACAACTTGTACATTAAGGATTACTGTTTTTCTAATTTATTTTTAACCATAAATTTTATTTATTAAATTAACAAAACAAAATATTATGGAATTAAAATATCTTAAATTCGTAATTTGAGCAGTAATCGGGGGGGGGGGGGCTAACTCCACCAGATATTTATTACAGCGCAGTAAATTCAGTGGCGTAACATACCAAAGTTGGCTGCGTTTTGAGACCGCTCATTTCCCGCAAATCTTGCACGGAAATATCTAATTTATTTATTTTTGTCATTTTGTTTAACTTTTTAAATTGAATCTAATTTAAAATAAAATCTAAAATTCAAAATCCGTCCATTGCAGAGACAAAGCGAGAAGAAACTTTGTCAATAAGTAAAGGAAAAAAGAATAAAATATGAATAATTAAAATATACAGAAATTAGAGAGAATAAAAGGAAGTTTTTGAAAAAATAAAAACTTCGTCTTATATTTCTTCTTCTCGGCTTGTGTCTGCTTAACGATTAGGGTTCTTTTTTTCCTTTATTATTCTGTTCGGATCTTAATTATTTTCAACGACAGATTTCGGGGTTTGCTCATTCTGAGGTTCCCATCTCTCTCTTCCTCGCTACTCTCTCTGGGTATGTAATTTTTAGTTAAATTTCTCTGTGCATTTGAATCCTTTATGAGGTGTTTGTATTTTCTTTTTGATTCCTGCTCTAAGGTATTAGTAGATCGATTTTTGTTTCATTTTTTATTTTATTTTAATAGAATTTTTTAACAGATTTCATGATAAATTTGCACTTGGGTTTTTTGTTTGTTGATTATGTGGCAGAGGGAACTCCCCCCCCCCCCAACCAATCGAATAAATCATTGTTTCTGTTTTGTATAATAAGTTTCGGGGTTTATTCCCTATTTCTTCGAGATGATGGTTTACATTAGCGTGCTGCATTTGGATGATTAATGAAGTAAGATACGATTGCATCATTTGTTTTGATTTGTTTATGTTTTTTTTATGATTTGTTCAGGTTTGATAAATTTCATATTGGGAAAGTTAACTTGGTGGATTTGACTAAAAAGGGTTTTGTTGAAAAACTTGGAATATTGGGTGCGTGTGAATTGTAATGACTACACGAACATCATGGGCTGATTTGGCTGCAAATTCTGCAGCTGAGAATGGAGGTGTTGGTTATTCTTCTGATAGCCGCAAAGTTGCTGGTTCCACTTCGGGTGGTGGGAGACCTGCTTATGTTCCTCCACATCTCCGTAATCGTCCGCCATCTGCAGAACCATCTGCTCCTACTTCCAGTGGCCCTGCTTCAAATAGTGATCGACCTGGACAAGGGGGATCACGTTGGGCTGCTCCTAGGAATGATTATAACAACCGATCTGGATATGGTGGTAGTGGTGTTCGACCTGGTGGATGGGGTGGCAGAAGTGGTGGTTGGGATCGTGGGAGAGATAGGGAAGTTAATCCATTTGGAAATGATGATACAGAGCAGGTGTTTAATGAGCAAGAGAATACTGGAATCAACTTTGATGCCTATGAAGACATTCCCGTGGAGACAAGTGGTGACAATGTGCCACCACCCGTTAATACTTTTGCTGAGATTGACTTAGGTGAAGCTCTGAATCTAAATATCCGAAGGTGCAAGTATGTGAAGCCGACACCTGTTCAGCGGTATGCCATCCCAATTTCACTTGCAGGAAGGGATTTGATGGCATGTGCTCAGACTGGTTCAGGAAAGACAGCTGCCTTTTGTTTTCCAATTATCAGTGGAATTATGAGAGGTCCTGTTCCACAAAAACCATTACGAGCACGCACAGTATTCCCATTAGCTCTTATTCTCTCTCCTACCAGGGAGCTATCAATGCAAGTGGGTGCCATATTTTGAAAATTCAGATGATGTGCTTCTATTAATAACTTGGAATTTATATTCAGTGACAATTATTGCAGATACATGAGGAAGCCAGGAAGTTCTCTTATCAAACAGGTGTTAAGGTGGTTGTTGCTTATGGAGGTGCTCCTATTAACCAGCAGGTAACTTTTCTCTCTATTTCTCTTTATTTTCAGTTTACCTTTCGTTTACATTAATCAGAATTTCCTAATGTAGTAGTGCTACTGTTTTGATGCACTAATCCCTTTTATTAATAAAGAGTTTCACTCTTAATTTTGCTGGTCAAGGTGAAACCTTCTGCTCTTGGGACAAATAGTAGATTTCTTTAGCATATTTTAAGTTTATATGTTCTAATTCAAAAAAATAATAATAATAAGTTTATATGTTCATCCCAGTGTTGTTAAGGATGCAAGGTGCACTCCAATTGCTAGAATCCTTATATTGCCTGTCGTGAAAGGCACAAAAAAGTGTTTTTGTATGTGTGTATGATAAGATTAAGATATATAATCATGATAACAAAATCTATACAGTGGTGTAATTTATCTACAAAACATGCAATTCTTTTGTCGATCAATATGTAATACATTCTCTGTTTGATTGTATCCCCGTCCTTAATAGTAAAGTTAGGTCTAATGAAAAAATTAAAAGAAAAAGAGAACAGTTATTTTTATCCCTACCTTCTCTAAAGAAAAACACACCACCTAGGCACTTATCAGATGCCCCTTACCTGAAAGAGTGTGAGGTACTTTCTTCTTCGAATATTTGATATTCTTGTATCATTTTGACACTCTGGTATCATTTTAATGTCTAATTCTGGGTCACCATTTTTTTACTTAAACTGTATGTTTGAAATTTATTTCTGTTTGTTTAAGTTGATGGTATTTGATTTGAACAGCTGAGGGAGCTAGAGAGAGGTGTCGATATTCTTGTAGCAACACCTGGAAGGTTGGTAGATTTGCTAGAGAGGGCTAGAGTTTCTCTACATATGATCAGGTATTTGGCCCTGGATGAGGCAGACAGAATGCTGGATATGGGTTTTGAGCCTCAAATAAGAAAGATTGTGGAGCAAATGGACATGCCTTCACCTGGTGTTAGACAAACAATGCTATTCAGTGCCACCTTTCCAAGAGAGATACAGGTTGATCCTATCTTTGTAAAAAAGCCCTGCTAGGATTTAAACAATTGATCATTTTCTTATCAGTTTTCAATGCATAGCTCATGCACTTTCTCTCTATACGCTGGAGTTCTATACTCTGATTATATAAGATTATTCTTAGTTACATTTGCATTATTTGCGTTGGAATTTTAGTTTTTTATTGGTAAAAGGGAGCTCTACAGCTAAAAAAGTTCTTTAGTGAAACTCCATTACATTCTTGCCACTTAAATTAGAACCAAAATCGCCTCCCCCCCGCCCAAAAAAAAAAAAAACTGCAACCAAACTTGTACTTACCTTTGAATACTATTTGGATCTTGCGAACCTAGTTTTTTGGTAACTATTTACCCTTCTGTTATTGTTGCATGCAGAGACTGGCCTCTGATTTTCTAGCAAATTATATTTTCTTGGCTGTGGGTCGAGTTGGTTCAAGTACTGATTTGATTGCCCAAAGAGTAGAATTTGTTCAAGAGTCAGACAAAAGAAGTCACCTTATGGACCTTCTTCATGCTCAGAGAGCAAATGGTGCCCAGGGCAAGGTACTAAAGTTTCGGACTTGTGATACTTTATCCTAATGATGTTAATTGGAATTCCTGTATGAATCAGATTAGCTCTAATGTAAATCGTCTATTTTTGGTTTTGGGAATTTGACTGTAGCTTTCTTATTAGATAACCTTTTATTTTAATCTTGCAGCAAGCTCTTACATTAGTTTTTGTTGAGACAAAAAAAGGAGCTGATTCGTTAGAACATTGGCTCTGCATGAATGGTTTTCCTGCAACTACCATTCATGGTGATAGAAGCCAGCAGGTAAATATACATGTTTTCATTTTCTTTTTGTACTTTTTATGCATGGTTCTTGTTTTAAATTGAAATTTTAGTATAAAAGATAAAAGTGTAGTTTAACCCCCCAAATGTTTGGTTGTGGCTTCTTTGTTTTCCGTTAGAGCTTTATATTTGTATTTGGGGAGTTGCTGCAAGCATGATGAGTATTTGCAGCTTACTGCAATTGTCCTGTTGTTATATGTGCCAACTTGTGTTGGGAGGGTGAGCAAATTGCAAATCTTTTAGTTTTGAGTTGGGAGTTGGTCCATGATTCTTAGCAAAGCCATCATGAGTGCTTTTGGTGTTTTTCCTTTTTATCTCCTGATTGGATGAGATCACTGCACCCCCCGCTTTTTAGATTCCTTTTTTAATCCTCTTATGCTCACCGTCCCTAATTATGCATTGGTTGGGTAGTGGTCACTATTCTACTCTTTGTATAACTTATAACCTATGCTATACTTGATTATTGTTCTGTATGGAGCTTTTAACAATTTTTCTGGGGACTTATATATCAATCTTTTAATGTATATGAATAATCAAAATATCTGTTGATGGATGCCAAGAATTAACTTGCATATTAATTTTCGAGTAATGCATTGAAATGCAAAGTGTAGCTGCAAGTGTGCATATGGTTGTAATTGGATTTCTTTATCATTTTCTTTATCCTTTAGATTTGACACTTGTCATCTTCTCTGCCTCCTACATATTTTTAGCAATTCTTCATATAGGGGTGTTTGTCTATTTTTTCTACTCTTGTAACTGTAAGGTACCTCTTGTTAAGATACCAGTTCATTGTGTA